CACAGCCTCTTTTTTTCCGGTCTTCCCGGTCTACCAAGGACCCGGCCCGCCGCGACCGGAGAGTCTGGGTCCTCCGGAGGACCCGGCCTGTCGTTTTGGACACAGCCTTTGTGATTATCACAAAATTTCAGCATAATATTTTTTTAATTAGCTGTGGCGGCCATCTTGAAGTTTCAAATCCAGAGTGTTTTTTGTTTGTATGTGGCCCCCTAAAAAACACCATGGCCACCCTTGTGACCCCCCACCCCAAGAATAAAAGCTTAGCTCCGCCCCCGATGGAAGTCCTACTAAAATTTWAAGGGACAATCCGGTCACTTTCTACCGTCAGCTGGCTGCAGAGGATAGAATTTAACTCGTCATTCGTCAGTTTCTCTGCTCTGCTCGTGACGGTGGAAGAGTTTTAGGATGTGAATGTTTCACCTCTGGCCTCGGCTCTGAAAGGTGGAGCGACAGCTGGGCGTTTAACTCAGCGCTGGTCGCCACCTGTTAGCGAGGCACAAAGTGTGCTATTATCTCCAGAACAGGAGAATCTGGTCCCTCGGGCCAGAGCAATAAAAAAACAAAAGGCAGCAACCTGTGGAGAATTTCTTCTTCCTCTCCTCCTGAAATCCAGGATTCCTTCAGGTCTCTGTAGCCTTCAGCCTTTCTACAACAAACATCTTAAAACTTTACGACCCAGCAGACAATTGCTGTCATTAAGGTCATTTCTTCCTCGGCTCGTTCTGTGAAATAATGATTCATTGCTTTGCTTTTTTTTACTAGAACAAGGATAAATTTTATGTTTGGGCCACTAGCTAATTGTATTACTCCAATAATATTCCCAAGACAAATGGAGTTTTGGGCTTGATTTATGACCGCGAGTGTCTGTTAGCAAAATATCTCACGACACTGGACAGATTATTAATGAAATTTGATGTACAACAACAACTGATTTTCTTCTGGAGTCAAGATGGCTGCCACAGCCATGATCCGATTAAACAATCAATACGTTGGTCAGTTTTACAGATACTGAGCTAAAACTTGGTATGGTAGTAGCTGAGACTGATCCTAAACACATATTCTGAGTGCTAACAGATAGATCAAAACAGATTTTATCAAGCTTTCGTTATGTAATCCTTGGATTAATGTCCCCAACTGAATACCATTTGGAGCCAATCCGATACAAGATGGCTGCTACAGATACATACCTTGTACAAAAACAGCTACAATTCAGTTAATTTAACAAATATTAAGCTAAGTTTTGGTGTAGTAGCAGCTGAAACCGATTCTGAACACATATTCTGAGCACTGTCAGATTGTGCTAGACAAATTTTATTAAACTTTCAGAAGATAACCTTTCGATTAACATCTACAACTGAGTGCCATTTGGAGCACCTTTTGGAGCCAATCCAATGCAAGATGGCTGCCACAGATAACTACCTTGTACTAAAACAGCTACAATTCGGTTAATTTAACAGATATTAAGCTAAATTTTGATGTGGTAGTAGCTGAGATTGATTCCAAACATATATACTCAGTGCCAAGAGATTTTATTAAAATTTCAGTACATAATCCTTGGGTTAATRTCTACAACTGAGTTCCATTTAGAGCCAATTCAATGCAAGATGGCCACCTCATAATTAAGTTACTTTAAAAAAATTTGAGCTAAAATTTGGTGTGGTAGTAGCTGAGACTGATCCTGAACACATATTCTGAGTGCTAACAGATTGATCAAAACAGATTTTGTTAAACTTTCATTACATAATCCGTGGATTAACGTCTCCAACTGAGCACCCTTTGGAGCCAATCCAATGCAAGATGGCATTTGATGGCAAGAGCCACATTTTGTCGTATTAAACAGAAAGATTTGATCAAAGCAGCTAAAAACTAATGAAGCTTCAGGATAAAAACAGAAGTTGACTTGCATTCCTTTGGGGAAAATGTGCTTTTTTCCCCTCTCTGAACATTGATAAGCCGTCTTTGTGGTGGAAACATTCCAATTTGTTTCATTGCTTCTGACCCTGAAAATGTTTTTATTGAGACCAATTTCTTTCACGAAACACACGGCACTTTTAATCCCGTATGAACTGAATACTGTACGCTCTCAGACGTTCATGTCTGTACGGTTTACTTTCCAGGCTGCCCCGGGGCAAAGAAAACAGAGTTCCTGACGAGCGTTCTTGACGCGCTGTCGACAGACATGGTGCATGCCGTCACAGATCCGGCGTCTGCTGGAAGGTACGGCGTTTGGAAGTGGATGGGTTCGTCTTTTCATTGCACCATTCCTCAAACTGAAATCGTGCGGAAGTGATGATATAATCTGATCCCCTGACCTTTAGGATTGTGGAGCCGGACCCCAGTCACACCCTGGAGGAGAGGGTGGTCCACTGGTACTTCGGTCAGCTGGACAAGAACGCCAGCGGGGACATCGGGAAGGAAGAGATCAAGCCTTTCAAACGCTTCCTGCGGAAGAAGTCCAAGCCGAAGAAGTGCGTGAAGAAGTTTGTGGAGTACTGCGACATCAGCAACAACAAGGCGCTGTCTCTGCAGGAACTGATGGGCTGCCTGGGCCTGACCAAAGAGGACGGTGAGCTCAACGACACCACCAGATGTTACAGAAACATAAAAACCTGAATGACCACTCACTGTGTCTTACAGGGCCCAAACAAGGAGAAGACTTACCTCCCAGTAAGCTGGTGAGTAAAGGAACCACAATCTGTTTTAATGTTTTATCTGTTTGGGTTGGCCGGCTGCACTACTCTGGATATTTATTTATTAGTTTATTCAGGTTTCATCCAAACACATTCTAACAAAATTACTAAATGTTTAAATCTGGACCTGCGACCACAACTTAGAAGTTATAGACTAAACTGATGGTCCCATTACAAATTTAAAGTTCTGCCCCGCCACCATTTAAACAAAATAAAATAAAAAAAATACACCTCATATTCTAGGCTGAAGTACCAAACTCATTTTTACCATTTGCCACATGAGCATAAGTTCAACTAAACAAGAAACATCACCACAAACAAACACCAACTGAGCTCTACCTGGTGTTTCCTGCATAGAAAGAGTTTTAACACAAAAACACTGAAAAGTACTACGAGTACGACTGTATAAATGTGAAATGTGAGTTGTGGTGAGTAGATGAGTAACTCTCCCACTTTCCAACAGGGAATTCCCACTTGAGTGGCATTCCAGTTTAAATTTACGACTTGTAAGTTGGAAATTCCTACTTCCCAGTACAACTGCAGCAAAAGTAGCAGGCAAAAGTGCAGCTACTTTCGAACCCCGTGCAGCTCAACCTAATGGTGGGATGTTGTCATTTTGTGGGTAAAATAATCAGCATCAGGTCATCTTGCCCATCTTTACCCAGGATGTACACTTCTGTAAAGAAGAGGTAGATTTGGATTTGTTTATACGTAATTATTTATTGTTGGTTTTGGTTTTAGACCTACGTAAATATTCAGGGCTGAAGTCTCAGGTGTTCATGTCAGAAGATTCAATGGTAGTGTCTAAATACCATCCATCCATCCATCATCCAATAATCCATCATCCATCCACACATCATCCACCCATCACCCATCCACCGTCATCCATCCATCCATCCATCCATCCATCCATCCAGTGATCCACCCATCCATCCATCCATCCAGTGATCCACCCATCATCCATCCATCCATCCATCTATCCATCCAATGATCCATCTATCCATCCACCCATCATCCATCCATCCATCCAGTGATCCACCCATCCATCCACCCATCCATCCACCCATCCATTCACCCATCATCCACCCATCCATCCATCCAATGATCCACCCATCCATCCACCAATCATCCATCATCCATCCATCCATTCACCATCATCCACACATCCATCCATCCATCCATCCATCCAAAGATCCACCCATCCACCCATCCAATGATCCACCCATCCATCCACCCATCGTCCATCCATCCATCCATCCATCCATCATCCAACCATCCATCCACCCATCATCCATCCATCATCCACCCACCCATCATCCATCCATCCATCCATCATCCATCCATCCATCCATCCATCCACCCATCATCCATCTACCCATCATCCATCCATCCATTCACCCATCATCCACCCATCCATCCATCCAAAGATCCACCCATCATCCACCCATCCATCCACCAATCGTCCATCCATCATCCAACCATCCATCCACCCATCATCCATCCATCCATCCACTCACCCATCATCCATCCATCCATCCATCATCCATCCATCCATCCATCCACCCATCATCCATCTACCCATCATCCATCCATCCATCCATCCATCCACCCATCCATCCTGTTCTGCTCATTCTGGGGTCAAGTCTTGGGGGTCAACAGACTGTTTTGCTTCTACAATTCATGCCAAAAAATTGCCATGTCACAGCTCTGTAAGATGCCACCTTTATAAAACCAATCACAAAATCCTCTCAGGTATGAATYATTTCATCACACAGTCCAATCCTAACAGCAACAGATTGAGGGAAAATGGCTAAACGAACTCAAGAAAACTGGTAAAGACAGTTGTCTTGATTTCCTGATCCCAAAGTATAATTCCTGAAAGCTGTCTCTTCTGTTTTTATTTTCTTTAAAACTCAACTTTTTGAAAGCATCTTTAAAAATTATAATTTTCCTTTGGAGGCTCTGTTTGCGCAAGGTCAGGAGGAGATAATGCAGCCTAAGTATCCAGCGTAGTGTATGCGGGACCTAAAACAGACATGACGTCATTAATAAGTTGTCCAAGTTCAAACTGTAAGTTTAACTGGAATAATTTCAATCTTTGCTTCAGAATCCTTCCAAGAAGCAAGGTTAAAGCCGACGCCCCCTCTCGGCGTCACCCATCGGCAACAATGGAAACCATAGTATTTGCACTTTGTACTTTAAAAAATGTAAATTCACTTTGTAGAAATGAGGTATTTAAACGAATTGCTGAATCTGTGAATGGTGTAGTTAGCATTTTATGTCCTGACAAAGAAAAAAAAAACACATACAATGTATGTGTGCTTTGTGTGTCTGAAAAGTGTACCTTTAAAAGTTGTACAAGTTTTCATGTTTGATGCAGCGTTTCTGTGCCCCGGGCCACAGTTGGTCGTGTTATTTTGTATAGTTTGCTCCACAGCTACGTTAACTTAGACCCTCCTTTCTCTCATGTGCTGATTTCATTGACTTTGTAAAGCAAGAATGTATCAATCTTTATGAATATGTCCTCATATATCCATCTGTAGTAGAAATAAAGAACTCCACATGTAGTTGCTGTGTTTTGGTTCGTCTAATGTGTCGAAGAACGAATTCCTTCATCCTCCCTTTAAAAACCCAGTAAATATTGTATTTTACTTGCTGTGCCTGTAATGAAACATGTCAACACCGACTTTAAGAGTCGTATCTTCCCGTTTTGAAAATATTTGCCAGTTCCCTTCAGACGGCACCTTCAGACGAGAAAATAAAAGTCTGTTTTTGTTAGACTTGTTCCTCATAAACTAGATAAAAGACTGAAACTAAACACATGCTGAAACAAAAGCCGGGTGTTTTCTGTTTATATCTGTGTCTCAGATGCTGTATTGTCTTGCTGAAATATGCAAAACCTTCCCTGAAATCGGAGCAGATGTTCTTAAACTTGTAGCTACTTTTCTACCTTAATGGTGTCTTTTCAGACGTGTAAAACCAGCGTTACACAGCTGTACTTTGTTTTATTCCTGCAGGATTACATCAGGGCAGTTTAGTCTTTAGTAAAGTGACTTTTCACACATTTAAATCYGCTAAAACCTGGTGGTATTTCCTGCATAGAAACAGCATTTTAACACATCCTCTTATAAACACTGAAAAGTACGACGTGTGCGACTGACTGAATGTGAAATAAATAAAACAGAAATACTATTAAAAGTAAAAGTAAGAGAGTTTTACTCACTGTTGAGTTGTGGTGAGTAGCTGCCATCTTGAATTCTGAACTCTCCCACTTTCCAACTGGGAAATCCCACTGGTTCCAGTTTAAATTTACGACATGTAAGTGGAAAATTCCCACTTCCTGGTACAACTGCAGCAAAAGTCGCGGCCAAAAATTCATTGAAATAGGGATTTGACACAAATTTCGACGGCTACTTTTGAACCCTGTGCAGCACCACCTAGTGGTGGGATGCCGTCATTTTGCTGGTAAAATAATTGATGTGCATTATGGGAGATGTAGTTTATAGGGGTTTAAATCAGATGAAAATTAACAGATGAATGAAACAAATTAAGAATACAGGCTGAAACTAAAAAGAACGAGTGTTTTCTGTTTATATCAGTGTCTCGGGTGCTGTATTGTCTTGCTGAAATATGCAAAACCTTCCCTGAAATCGGAGCAGATGTTCGAAAACGTTTACATACTTTCTACCTTAATAGTATC